AATATATATATATATATATTTTTTTTTTTTTAATTTTTTTTTAATCATCTTTATTGTTATCACAATAGTACCACAAAATATGATAAAATTCTAAGTCCTGTACATTATCCTTAGCAATTCCTCCTGAGTAGGCCTGTCATGGTAACAAATTTTGCTGTATGAAAAATTGTATTGCAATAGTACTGTTTTGAGACCTTTTTCAAGTAATGCAATGGCATAATAACGCTAGAGAACATTCTCAAAAATCAATCAACTTTAAATTCTAAAGGACAATTAATACTGAAACTGGAAGACATTTTGAATATCCCAAATTAATAAACAAAACAGAAACAACAAATAACATGAATTATGGAGTCTTTCTAAAAAAAAAATAAAAGCAGTACAAAGGAAGAGATGAGAAAAAAAACACGAAATCATACAAATGGAAATTATTGAACTCATTTTAATTTATCATGCTTTTAGTTGATTGTTTATTACAGCAGGCTTACTCCTGAGTTGTAAACAACCATTTCTAGCCCTGTTTTTTTATTTTATTTTATTTTTTACCACCTACAGGTAGGTGGTGACAAGTGACAAAACCCAGCCTACCCACCTGCCAACCAGCGAGCCTGGCCCTTGTTTACCTGCTCCTCAGGTAGTTTGTAAGCAGGTAAGGTTGGGGGGGCGGGGTCAGGGCCTCACACGGGATAGGAGAGATGCCTGTGGAGGGCGGAAGCAGCAGTGGCTCGGCTTCGGCCGCACGTCACCCCAAGCAGAAGCGCAAGGCACACAGTTTGTCCATCCGGCGCACCAACAGCACAGAGGAGCGGCCACCGGGCATCCTGAGAGGAGACATGCTGGAGGGACAGGTCAGAGCAGAGGGGAGGAGTCCCTACATTTATTATTTTTTTATCATTTGGAAATGTGATGTCAGGAAGTTTTTCCTTTTATTTTTGTTAAAATGAAAGTGATTGCTACGGTATGTGGCTTTTTGTCAGCCGTGACCCTGCAGTGCCAGCCTGTTTAACAGCATTTTTAAGGTTTAATGGTAAGGCAACATTGACGACTTACTTTCTACTATCAGAGTTCAGTTTGTTCCCTTCAAGAAAGGAAAATGTTTAACCCGTACTAACTTAACGCCAGTCGTTACAGAACGTTTACCATCCTAGGCGGTGACGCCTTTAGTTACTGATTTCAAGGGATCGACTGTAACGTTCCTCCACCGCCATAAAGTTGGTGATTAACTCGCTCCAAACCAGGTTATTTGAATTAAGTCTACAGTTGATTTAGCTTTCCCACAAATGAAGGACGGACAGTTTTTGTCTTAGGAGTTGCTTCCTTAAAGCTTGTTCTGGTGACTTTTTTTTTTTTGCCTTCTTTACCTCTCGGGCAATAAAAACGACTCTCTGTTTGATTAAGGACGCAGCAGTCGTTAACTTTTAGGAGGTGGCTGCAGTGCGATACAGCCTCACACATTTCTGACTCATCATTTATTCCAACAGGTGAAATTGGTATCAGTGGAAAGTGCGCCTCAGCTCCCACTTTTTCCCTTAAATATAAAGCCTGAGCCAGTAAAACCGGAGCTCAGCTTGCCACCGCCGTGTCGTCTCATCAAGTTTTAATACGGGTCTGATTAGTCTTTTCAACAGTCCTTTCTTTGCCGCCCTCTGTTTACGTACTACTTGCACATGCCCAGGCGGCTTTATGAGCCCAAACGGAACACAGAGCGGGTTTTATTCTCCTCCTCCTCCTTTTTTTTTTTTTTAATGCTGGCATTATTGACCAAAGTGTGTCGCAGGCTGCAGGTTTAAGAGACTAAAACTAAGCAGCTTATAAGAACCGCCTGTTATTCCCTAATAGGTCTTCTACCCACCACCAGAGCATGGTGACATGTGGTGTTAACGTAACCGTGACTAACTCTGACCTTTGGTAGGCAAACATTTTGAATCGGTTGATTTAAAATCTTAAGATGCAGCCTTGTGTACTCTGGTAGCATTTTGCATTTTCATGGGAGCTGTGGTGGAGACTGGTGACCTGGATTTAACTGGGCACCAGCAGCAGGTTGACATGGAGGTAAGGCAGTTGTTGCTGTTGCAGCTGTTGGTATTGAAAGTAACTACGCTAGTTGTATTTGTCAAGAGATGTCTGCTTCATGCTCGGTGGGAAGTTTTTTTTATTATTGTTATTATTTCATGACTCATTCACTTTTTCTCTCTGTGGTAGCGGTGTGTCATTTATCTTCTGTGCTGCTTTTTTCTACAAGTGTTACTGTGGCTTTTTATAAGTATTTATAACCCTTGAAGTTTCTCGTATTTTGTAAGGTTACGACAGCAAACGTCAATGCATTCCGTCAGGATTTTATGTGATGGATGTGAAATGGTGTGTGACTGGAAACTGGGAGGAAAATAAATAACACTTGGATAAAAAGTGTTCTGTACACTTCTATTCAACTCTCCAGAGTCAAAACTCCAGCTGCAAGACTTTTAGGAGTTGTCTCAACCAAGTTTTGTCAAATCTCAAGCTGTAGCTACAGTGCTGAGCTTTCCCACTGATTTTTCTAATGCATTTCATTCTAATACATAAATGTGCTTTTAACTAAACAAAACCACTGCAGCTTTTGCTGTACGTTTAGACTTTAAGAGTCATTCTGCAGAAAATTGACCCTCCACCTCAGATTCAGTTTTTTACACCCAGGTCTTCTAGGATTTTTTTGCATTTGTCTTTGTCTTGAATTTACAAAAAATAAATAAATAAATAAATAATAATTTCAGACCTTACAAGGTATTGGACACATGCAGATTTTCAATGCTTGATTACATTTAGTTTCATCTTAAATTTGGATTCTTGTTCGGTTATCGTTTCCTCCATACTTTTATTTTTTTAAATTAATAATAGTTAAGTTTCTGTGGAAACTTAACTATTGAACTTTCGTGTTGTGTTCAAGGAAACCTTAACTTAACACATTTATTCTTAAGTGAAACAGTTTAAAAGCTTGGACAACAAAACAATAACATCTATCATCATACAGGTTCGATGGAATCACTAGACTCCGATCCAGAACTGCACGGCATTCTGGGGGATGTAGGCAGAGGAACCGCTAGCAAAGAAAGGTTGAACTTACTCATTCTTTGGTTACCTAGCAACAACTTTTCTGTGGAAAATGCGCAACAGCTGTTTCGTGTTGCCCCCAACATGTTCGGGCGTACTCCACGGACATAATGCAGACTCAACGCGGACGTTCCGCACAAAGGTAAAGATTTTGCAACCGCGGACGCGTACTCAGCGACGTACGAGAAACCGTGTGCACGCCGAACTGTTTAGTATGCGACACCGAGCTGATAACGGCGCTATCCGCGCAACCAGTGGCAAGAATACGTAGTGCGACTGCTGCTCTTTGTTAAACATTGAATGGTGTGCGGTGGTGGATAAGAAGCGGGACTAGCTCATGAAACTTGCTGGTATTCACTCGGTTTGCGGAAAATTAAGGCATTTTGTGACGAGAAACGTAGTCGGTGGTCCACTATGAAATCTCCACCGTACGCAGACGGTGCGCGTGAAGTCTGCGCGGTCCACTAGAAAATGTGTCCACACTGTAAGCCTTAGGATGTGGGCGCTGTTTCATGTTTTGGCGCATAATTGCCGCTAAAAACAAAAAAGATGGGAAGAAGAGAATGAACAGCTCAAGAGGAAACTGGATAAAAAAGGGAAGATTGACGGCATAAAAAAAAACATCAATTGCTAATGCCGACTATGAAATGCGTATATATCATGATGTTTTTCAGCCATACTGCCCAGTCCTAGCTTTCATATTTCCACTTTACCACAGCTCATTAATTTTTAAAATTAATTTATAACCAACCGTCTTGAAAAAATTCTGTCATTTACCTTGTGAAACTTGCAGAAATCCCTGGTTTAGCTTAATTCGTCTTTGAATGAACTCTGAACAATTTTGCTGCTAAAGAAAAGCATCCATGACGCCACCATGTTTCACTATTGAGTAGGACATGTTAAATACAATTTTTCATTTGAACCAAAAAGTTCAGTTTTTGTCACATAAAATCCCAGCAAACTATATTGGCATTTGTCGTAGCAACATAACAAAAGGTGTACAAGCTTTAGAGGCATTAAGGATCTTGGATAACTTTTGATATGTGTTTCATGTGTCCAGGACTCCAAGCTGCCCCTCGGCTTGCGGAACAACCTCCTTGACCTGTTTGGCCAGATCGAACGGGAATTTGAGAATCTGTACATCGAAAACCTTGAATGTGAGTTTACCTCCCTTCCTCCGTCAGGCCTCAGTTGCTGATTCACTACCCAGCGATCTCCGTTCAATCATTAATGCTGTGCCCACGTCGCAGTGCGCCGGGAAATCGACTCTCTCAACGAGCGTCTGACTGGAGATGGGCAGGCCATCGAGGGGGGAGACCCCTCCAAGGGAGCCCTCAAAGCCAAAGGTGCGACATTTGTTAAAGTTGTCTTTGAAAATACATCCTCACAAGCCAATTAAATCAACTTGTTTAGTACTTTTTTTTGGCAACACGGCTCATTCAAACAAATGGGAGGCTCTACTGGAGCACATAAAGTTTCAGTTTTATTGACATTGACCAAGATAAAAGCGCAAACCACCTGTGAGGTATTATATAAAAAGGTGTGACAGCCTTAAGCTACACAGAATCTACATTTACTCTGTTTAAAGATGGGTAAAAATTCAGCTATTTTTGCAGTAGCATAACTTTGCTCAAACATATATATATATATTTTAAATCCCTGCCTCAAATCGGAGAACATTTATTCAATTATTTATTCCTGAATCCACTTAAAGCAGTCTGGATTAACAGTCGTTGGAGCTTTTTGTAGTTTTTCTTAAAGCTTTTAAAGTTTCGGTCATTTTCTCATATGAACATTTACAAGCCTAGATTGTCTAGGCAGTTTTCATACTCCATGACTTTATGATTCTTTTTAGCTTCTTTCTCTTCACCACCCTTCAAAATGGGCTTTACAAGAGAACATTTTAGTTTAAATTCAGAAAATGAATACAACAAACATCTTAAGAGCAATAATTAGAAAAAAATTTACAACGGGAAGAGGATCTAAGTCAATCTAGAAAAAAAAAAGAGAAAATAATTTAAAATTATTGGCATGAAATGTTCTGCCTCTTCTTCTGATTACTGGAATAAGAATAAAGTATTTATTTATTTGAAGAGTGTTACAAAGCAGACACACTAGATGAGGGTAGGTGTGGCCATTTATAATGAAACATTTCTTATAATAAGATTTTTGATTTATCCTCGTCTCTGTTAATTTCACTTAACGATGTTAAATAAAACAATATCCCAGACAGTATGATCAGAAATGTTATTTTTACTATTTTGTGCACTATTTATCCCACAAGAGCATCAGTAAATATTGCTAAATTTGACAATATGATTAAATGCAGTTTCTGTTTGAGGTTTAGTGATGTAAAGCTCATGCCTAAAACTTATAGCAGTGACTTATGACGCCTGACGAATGCCACAACAAAGCTTTTTGTGTGTCTTTTTCTGTTGTTGTAAGTCTTGCCTTCTGGCATTGAAACCAAGCAGAGCGCATGTCACTCACTTCGGTGTTTTTATTCATGGGTTTTCTGTGTCTGTGTCACACAGCCAGCCACAGCACCAGTCAGCTGTCACAGAAGCTGAAGACAACCTACAAAGCCTCCACCAGCAAGGTACCTGGCACGAGCCATGTTGGGCTGCTCCGCAGAGCACGTCGGAGCTCTCGTGTAAATATTTGAGCGGCTAGCATTCAGCTTCTCTGATGAGGGGGACAGGAGGAGTGGAAAAGCTTGTTCCACGTCCTCAGAAAGTCAGAACGTAATCCTTGACTGTAAACCTACAGATTCTATCCCTTCCAATGAATGCATGATGTTTAGTTTTATATATTTTCCCCCCCATATTAACATCCAAAAAGTGACATTTTAATGTTGAATCTTTTTCCGAGGGTAGCGCTTGTACGCTTTCCAGGACAAAATAGGCGGAGCTCGCAACTTCAGCGTGCCCACCTGGGAGTTGTGGGGCGGAGATTCATGGGTAACCTCCTGAATGCTCTGTTTGTCGATGAGCGTTGAGCAGACGGCTGCTGGCTGAGTCGCATCTTAACTACAGTCTCACCTTGACTCCTGGTCTCTTTTCCACTCTGCGCCCTTCTTAGGAAACGACTCGGTGGGCGGCCGTAGCCGCCAAATGGTGAAGACGTGCGTTTATTTGTACTCTAGAGCCTAAATGTTTCAAACTTCTCTGTTATTCCAAAGTCATGACAAAACAAAGAGCTGGCCCAAATTAATTTGAGAGTAGAATTTAACTAATTAGTCTATTTTTAAGAAAAAATTCAACAAAAAACCCCCATTTAATTCCCTTCAGTAATATGTTTTGAAATGAACAACCTTTTGTCACAGTTTCTACAGAACCTAAACCACACCAGTTCTACCTAACTTTTTTTAATGCTTATGGTGATTTGGTTACCCTGATATGCCACTGTTGTTTACAGTATAGATTTAGGTTACCATGCAGATTAAACTTTTTGATTATTCCTCTAACTGTATTTATGCGAGTGATTACTATACTCTTTTCCTGACTTGTGAAAGTCAACACGTGCTTCACTTCAGTGGAGTGTTGTCTTCTCTTTTTCCCATTTTGAAAACTAAGTGTAATTGGACTCTGTGCAGTGTCAGGCGTTTACCACAGGAAGACGGAGAATCTTGCATTCCTTCATGGAATAAGCATGTAAAATGCTTATTGCATTTCTCTCACAGGGATTGAAAGAGTCACCAGTTGCCTCAGATTTTTATTTACAAGAGTTTCCCATTCCCAAAAGGGCTGATTTATTTTATTACAATACTTCATTCACATCTTTACTTGTGTTGCTAATGAGAGTCGAAGGTTCTGTAGGTTTTGGTAATCGGACCAGGGTTGAACCGTTCCGTGTGTCTCTCATTCTGTTACTTTGTACTCAGCTGTGCAAAATGGTATTTTTTTCTTTTTTACTCAACATAAATATATTAATCTGTGTGCAGCCAAATCCTTAGCTAGATAGAGAAACTGAATCCAGTTAAAAGACTGAAAACGGAGAACATGGGATCAAGGGAGGACAGCATAGATTAACCTCCTGTTAGACATGTCTGCTATCTGTTACACAGCTAATGCATCAGAATGTTGAATCTAATGTTACAATAAACTGAACTGCGGTAAAACTAATAATGCACACTAACTCTGGGTTTGTTGGTCTGCTTGGTCACTTTTAACTAGAATGACCTATGCTGCTGCTGCTGCTGTTGCTTTTCTTTTTTTTTAATTGGTTCTGGTGTGGGCCAGCTGCCAGGGATCAAAGCCTGCTGATCTTGTCATGTGCCTCAGCTGTTGCGGCTCTGTGAAAATAGAAGCCGAACTTTCCTCTTGAGATTGTTTCTGTGTGGGGGGCCCTGCAGCAGCAAAGGCCGACGCGCAACCAGAGCACACGTTATTTTTAGACATGCGCCCGTCTTATTTGGAGCTCCTGACGTGTAAGCAGAGCCGACGTTAATATTTGAGATCAGAAAAGTCGGGCACGCACACTCAGCTTTCTCTGTTTAAGACTTGAGAGTAGAATAGGTTAGTGGGGTTCTGATGTTTGAACGTGGCATCCTTATTACAAGAACTCTAGCTTGCGTGTGCAGATCTGATCTCGTTAGAAACGCCACAGGAAGCAGAAGTCATGGAAATGCGTTTACAGCCGTCACCCTCTGTGAGGGAGCAGCAGAGCTGATTTTAGGTTTTTCACCAGGCTCTGATCTAAAGTTAACCTGCTGCAGAGGCGTTTCAGTGGAAAAAGCTGCAAAGCTGACCTTTACCCACAGAAGGCGACCAACTCTGCCCTACATACCAAACGCCATCTTATCTGTTGTTCTGCTTGGCAGAAAGCAGCACAATGCAATCAAAACATATTCAGCATGTAGACAGTTATCTGTTAAATCAACAGAGTATTAATATGCAGCTCAACTAATTCATTTACATATGCTTGTTTGTGTTTTTATTCTATTGGTGCATGCATTATATGTGTAACCATACAGTAACTCTGAGAAGTATTTACACCACTTTTAGCTTCTGTTTCGTCTTTTATTGGGGTTTTATTTTGGTAGACCAACAGGAAGCAGTGAATGATTCTCAAGGGAGGGGGGGGGAAGGAAAATTCAAATATAACATTGATAAATAACCAGTATATTCCCCTAACCTTTCAATGCTTTTAAAAAAAATGACCACCTCTTTACCTCTGCTTCTGTTTCTGGAGGGTGAGGGGAGACAGTTGGTCATGTGACAGGATTGTGGGGAATATAAATGAAACAAACGGCAAAAAGATGGAAATAAATATATGTTGCTAATGGCGACCTAGTTTTACTTGTCAGACCTAGAGCATTATTTTAAGAAAGACAAATACCAGCCAATACAATGTTGGTGCCAATATATCGCGGATCCCTGATATAAATACAAAAGCATGCCACACGTTTCAGATTGTGATTTCTAAAAACTTTGTGTTGGTCTATCAAAAATTTCCTATTAGGATACATGGAAGCCTGTGGTTGTAATGTGATCAAATGTAGCAAAGATTTAAGGTCTATCAATACTTTTTCAAGGTGCTGTAAATGGTTACACTGTATGCAGATTCTAAACTCTGTCCTCTGCTCGTTTTCTTCTGTTCATCACTTCCTCGTCTCTTCCTCTCCTCTGCAGATCGTCTCCAGCTTCAAAGCCACCACCGGCTCCCGTGCCCTGTGCCAGCTGCTCAAGGAGTACATCGGCCACCGGGACGGCATCTGGGACCTCAGCGTCACCCGGACTCAGCCCGTGGTGCTGGGCACCGCCTCTGCCGGTACACGGATCAACCGAAAGGAACCTCGTCGAGCCAGAATGGCTCAAATCTCCATGAAATTGAAATGATCTGATTCCCTTGTCCTCACAGATCACTCAGCTCTGCTGTGGAGCATAGAGACGGGAAAATGTCTGCTGAGGTATGCAGGCCATGCAGGATCAGGTATGTATAAAGAAATGAATGTGTTATGCTTTATCATCTTTCTGTATGCATAAGAAATAATCTTTCTGTCACTTTTGGAAGAAGATCTGAATCTTTGATAATTTTTCATCTCTGTTGCAGTCAACTCCATCAAATTTCACCCCACCGAGCAGATGGCACTCACAGGTATGGATCTGAATTCATAAAAGATTTTTTTTTAAAGATTTAAACAGAATCTGTGTCAACAGGTTTGATGTTTCCTGCCGAGTGTGTGGGTGGGAGTCTGTGTTGACGAGCTTTTCTTTGTGTTTTTGCTCAGCCTCCGGAGATCAGACGGCTCACATCTGGCGCTACATGGTGCAGCTCCCGGCGCCGCAGCCGCCACCAGATGTCAGCGTGAGTAACTTTGGACTGAGATTTTTGCTAAAACTGATAAAGATTTCAAGGGCGCAAGCTGAGAGCTCCCCGTTTCTGGCGTATAGTTGGAACCAGATATTCACCTGAAATTTGGAGAAAGACGCACAATCTTGTTATTTCTGTTTGATAATAACTCGCTCAGTAGATTTGCGTTTAACAAGTTGTCTGCAGCCTTAAAGTCTTAAATTAATGTCTGTAAAATTAAGGCCTTAAATTGTTTGAGTTTTTTGTTTTTTATTTAAAGTAAGTTGGCCTTAATTATGTTCATCACAGGTCATGGCAGGTTTTTTTTGTTGTTTTTTTTCCCTTATGGGATTTTGCGTTGGGCAACAGTTCCCATCGTGTTCAGACTTCATTACGTTTTTACTGCTAACTAGCTGCTAATTTATCCTTGCTAGCTAGCTATTTTTGTGCTTACCATCAGTAAGTTCAAAATCCAAACACTCTATGTTTAGATTCATCACACCACCGAATATTTCTCCAAAAATTAAGGTGAATAATTGCATAAACATTCTTATTGTGTTTATGCTTGCTTTTAATTGCTAGAACAGATGAAAATGGCACCTTTGGATGTCTGGAAATTGTCCTCATTTCTCTTTTAGATGTAATGACTGATTTCTTTTGATTCTTCTTTTTTTGTCACGTGTTTGATATGTAGAAAATAAAATGAATCCACAGGAGTCTCCAATTAAGTCAAATGTTTTGAATAAACCTGTCAGGAGCTTAGAACGCCATGACATCATCATGTAGACTTTTGGTATTTTAAAAAAACAGAGGAATACACTAAGATTAATAGAAATTTTGTTTTATTTAAACTCCTATTTTTGATGAATGTAAAACAATTAGAGGTGTGCCGATCGATCGGCCACCGATCATAATCAGCCGATTTCCGTGAAAAAGTGTATGATCGGTGATCGCCGATCACGGTTTCTTGTTGCCGATCACACAAACTGATCACCTGCATCTCATTTCGCAGCCTGCCTGTGCAGCTGGTCTCTTTCCTTCACACTGCAAAAACGCGCAGCAACAAATCCTATAAGCGATGTGGTGTGGAATTATAACGCACTGAGTGAATGGGGAAGTTTGTGTGTTGCGGTTGAAAATTACTTCGGGGTGAAGCAGGTCAAAATGCATCAACACAACGAATCTAATATGGCATAAAAACAAAGCCATACTTGACGGAGTTTGGCTACATCGAGGCTCACTGCAGTAAAAAAGACATATGTAGCGATCAGATGGCAGGTAAAGCAGCGCACAGCTACAAACATTCACCCGGATTATTAGCATGACGGTCAGAAAGCTAAACAAATAACCCGCAAAATTATTTAAGTCTTCCAGCTGCGATGTAAGACTCTGGTTCTGCTCTCTTGTTGAACCGCTGCTATGCTACAGGTAGT